CAGTGAAAACATCCATAACTTACCTAAATAAAGTGCTTGTCAATGGTTACTCTAGTGTGTCCCATCACTGAACCTAAGAATGAAAAAATTCCATTAGTGTTGGGGAAAAAGTTGCCCATTACAGAATAGAGCAATAGTATGTTTACCACTACAAAGTAAACATTTTACACACTAACAGTGTAGACCTTGACTATGCACACCTGACATGGACAGTGACAGTTACTTTATTGTAAGCGAGCATGTAATATTACATGAAACAGACATTTGTCATTGATTGTTTTCTTATTAGACGGGTGAAAAAAGCATCTTAAATCAAGAACCTGGTAAACCAAGACCACATAACTAACTTGACCATTCAAAAGTGAAAGTATATACCGGTATGTGGCAACTCAAATGCTAATGAACATTCTCCCCTCTCCACTTGATGAGTAAAATAGTCTGGTACGTGTTAGACAAAGTAAACTAATAAAGTAGGGTGCATCAGTGTGCAACGCAACTCAATGGGTTAATGGGTAAACTAACACAACAAATCGGTTAACCATGAATGTACAAGACTCCACCCGAAGAGTAAAATCTACTCCATACCCAATGCTTGGTGACAAGTTACCAGTTTATTTATTTATTTATTTATTAACTTTACAACCATACATAAAATAAATTAAACCACTACATAATATGGTTGAAGGTATGATCAACAGGACATGAATAGTCCCATGTGAAGACCAACCTTAATGGAAACAAACTATAACAACCATAAATCAAAGACGAGAACAAATATAAAATTTACAGAAAACATGACGAATTACGAACAACAGCTTAATTAAGTTGAAAGAGCGGCACTTAGAACAGAAGGTTTTCCAAGTGCGCATTCTGTTTACATCGAAAGATGAATGAAGTAGAGAAGAGTAATGAACAGTTAATGTCCTGGGATAAAAATGTCTTATGGTACTACACTTAACAATCATTTAACACATCTTAATTGCTTAAATATAGGTGAAAGAAAAGAACAAAATGTTGCACATCACAATATTTTGGAGGACATATGAGGAACTTGAAATTGTAGTGATTCTCATCACTGTGGTAGAATTATACACTGCAATACCAGAATCATTGGACTGACCTCATTCATTAATTAATTAATAATATACATGATAAAATTTCTCAATTCTGATTGGCTAAGAGCAGTGCATTTTGTTTCGAAATACAGTGCCAAAAAAAAAGATACAGAGCAAATTTCATTGACCATAAGATACGGCCATTTCTAGCAGAAAATAATACAAAAAATCAAAACATTTACAAGTGACAAAAATGGCTGGGAATTTTTAGTAGATTTTCTATTTAAAAAATTTATATTAAAATTAACTCTTTTGCATGTGACCTAGGCATGCATATGACTACATAGTTTTTTCATGTATATTATTAATAAAAACATACATTTGTGAGTTTTCAAAGATGATAACAATTAATTTTGTTAATTTTCTTAATAAAAGCCTGATAGTCACAGAAATAAGAAATGTAAAATCATACTGCTTTATTAAACAACATGCTTGTAGAAACAATTTTGATTGGCATTCCAAATGTCTGTAGTTAGTTCAACAGAGTTTGAAAAACATTATACATAAACTTGTAAGTCATAAACGTTATGTTACAATGAAGTTACATGGAATTTGATTGGCCCGGGAGTGGAGCCTGCTGCACTGTTGCCTTTTTCCCTAAGTCATTTATTACAGTATAGTATAAACATATTTATATTGCTTTCAATAAACTTTTTAATTAATAGATGGATAGCAATTCAACTGCCTAGAAAATACAAGCAAAACATCAGCATTTTCAGCAAAGGCCTTTCCACTTTGTCTGGAAATTAGTAGACGAAGACTGTTCAAAATTATATTATTGCTTTGCAGCTGTATGGCTGTACTACCGTAATATTGCAGTAAACATATGTAGTGCTGGCTAGTAAATATGCAACAATTGACATTTTATGTCATCATTTGTAGAAAACTATTTCAAGTGAGCGGTGTTAATATGGAATAATAACTAAGCAGGCAGTGATCAATTTTACTAGGGCTTCCGAGCAGGCTCCTCTTCAATTTTCAGCCATATAGAAGAGCCGGCCACGCTGGCTACAGATAGTCTGATTAAATTAACCCATTGAGTGGCAGCACTCTCCCTGTTATGAGTTATCCAACATATTTACCATTAACCTCATCAAGCAAGGCACAGTTTGGTTTGTCTGATACAAGATGATCAGCAGCCTCAAATCATTCTGCATTGCCATTAATGAGTTTTTATAATTCTGTATATAAGGAAACTCACCCTTAAATTAATCCTTTCACGTATATCCGTAAAGTGTTTTGCTTTCCCACTTGTCCACATATAACACAGAGGGTAAATGCTCCTATATATAAATATAAAATATAAACTTTGGTTATAAGGATCACACAAGCTTGAGAGTCAATGAGAGTTTACTATTTTACAGCACCAATCAACTTTCATCCTCATATAGGACAACTTGCATTTAGACAGAGGCATATACTGAGCAATTTGTATAATACACCATTTATGTTGCTTTCAAGCGAAACAACAGATGTGCGAGTAAACAATTTGGGAATGGTGATCCACCCCTCTATGAGTTTTTCTCAAAGTAACACAACAATGTTTACCTATTGGTCGAGTGCCGAGTGTCAACTGTCTGTTGAGGGCAAGGGTAAAATGATGAGGGCAAGGGTAAAATGGGTCGTTCCAGAAAAGATCCATACCCCCCCCCCCACCCCCACGGAGGAAATTTTTGCTGTCCGAAGGGGGAGGGAGGAAAAATGTCTCAGGATGTCCAAAGGGGAGAAGAGGAAATGCGGATATAAGTTTGTCCAAAGGGTTAATGAGACTGATAAAGCTATGTGATCTGCAATTATAATGAGCACGCAATTTTTATTGGCTATAGCTCTTAAAAACCGGAACATTTATGTAACAGCAATAATTATACGTCCACATAACTCGTAAGCAAAATAAGCGGCCCACTTTTGCATGCATGGCCACCAAAAACTAACTCGCTGTAACAGCGTATCCTGCATGTTGAAAAGGAGTCAAAAATTGACACGCTTTTAAATATTTACATGTATATAAAAGTAAAGTTTTGCAGTTTTCGTTCGTATATATAAGTTTGAATTATTGAAGTGTTAAAAATAAAAGTTATTAAACTGTTATATTAAGGGCAAGGTTAAGGAATGCAGTAATACTAAAAAATACATTAACATGTTAGTAAACACAGCAACGCTTGTCAATCAGTCGCAAGTTTAATACATCAAATTTCAGCCCGAATTTTACTTGATCGAATTTCGAAGTGTATTTTTGCAAATTATCCGACAAAACCTGCCACGTGTTTGTGTTCAGAAGAAGGCGCCAAGTGTTCCGCCATGCCGGAGCTATTTGAAAACAGTGTAGAAAAGTCACAATAAGCCATCGCTTTCACACTATGCTGGAGCGAAATTGTTTGAAAACTTTCACGTCACTTTTGCCGTAACAATTTGAGCACGGTTTCTAAACAGAGCGAGGTGAAAACAGAGCGCTTGATAGCTTCGGGTGAACACAAACATGTAAACTCAAATGCTTTTCAGTTAAATTTCTTGGCTCTATTTGAAATATTTTGGGTTTACATGAGTGCTAAATAAATTTAATTTGTAATCAAACTGTAATGGCTTAGTCTGAACACACGTAAATTCTGCCCGCATTAGTTCGCTCCGCGCATAGTGTAAATGTAGTCTAATTTTCGATAATGGCAAGGTAGCCTTTAGAAAAAATTGGGCTTTTACAGCCGGAGAAGGGGGGAGGATAAACCATTCAAGGATGTCTGAAGGAGGGTATTTTCGATTTCCTCCGTGGGGGGGTATGGATCTTTTCTGGAATGACCCAATGTTGATTTCATTTGCTTTTCGCCGAGATCAAATTCCTTGTACGGCCCATGCACCTGGCAAAGAGGGGTATAGAGCATGATAATACCAACTTTTTGTATTTAATATTGTCCCAGGTGCCAGTTTAGTCTTTTACCATTCATGGTGACTGTAATTTAACCGACAGGGTCCGGGGTCCCAACTTGTAAATAAAAATAGATTTGATAAGAAGATTGGCATCCCCTTCCCTAGGTTTAGAGGTGCACACACCTTTGCACCCCTCCCCCAATGGGCCACTTGCCTTATAGCGATGACCACTATGCATGACGGTAGGAATCGTCACTTTGCAATCAAATAACATGGCGACTGTAGGAGCAAGCGATTTTGTTTTGAAGATATAAAACTGGATTTTTATTAACTACTTTTTGCATCTATCAATAACAAGAGAGCTCTTAACTAAACTAGATGTACATATAATTTCATGATGTTACATGTATTAATGGTGAAAAAATGCATTGGCAAGGTGACATGTGAACACGCTTCACAAAATTTTTTTGCCAAAATGTGACCTCATGAACAAAAACAGGTAAATTTGCATTTTAATAATATCACAAATTTTGGCAGTTGTTAGTACTGAATTTCTAGGTTATTTGGATTCGATAAGTTTATAAATGCCATTTTAAAGTTTGTGAAGTTCCTCGAGATATTCATACACTTCCTGTGAAAAAGCCAATTCCAAGTATTTGATCATTTCTGGTCACTTCCTTTCTATTTATGATTGGTTAGTTGCACAAAAAACAAAGGTGATTGGTGCATTCAAACTATTCAACAGAAAGTTTACAATTATACTAGGAAGTGTATGAATATCTTGAGGAACTTGATGAAATGAATTGGTCAGCCCAAGGTAATGTATTGAATCAATATTTGAGCAACACTTCAATTGGAA